TTCTCATTTCTCGAATTTGCCGAGGGGGGGGGGGGGGGTCTAAGGAGCGGCAGCTGCGGCACATTTTTATGCAAATTTCGTTAAAGAAATTTCATTCGCAGTTTTCTTCAAATTCTGTTGGGCCTGTTGTTATGCGGATTTCGCTACTGTCACCTGCGACTTTAATGATATGTGGCCCCCTTTTCAGGCAAAGCTGAAATTCAGATTTTCTAAATGATTTCTTCAACATAATAAATATGCACATACTTTACATGTTTCTTGTTTCATTTGTTGGTTTATTTTTTATTACACATTTCAGAAATTATTTTTCATATATTCACATTTTCGGCTCCTAATGGAATTCTATGTAATATTGAAAATGCAGAAACAAGAGTCTCTTTAAGCTATTTGAAGGTTTATGGATAAATAAATTATGCAAACGCAAAAAACAGAATCTGTATATGTTTATTACTATACTTTACTTTACTTGATTATTTATGCAATTTTGAGTCAAACTTATCTTATCTTAACTAGAGGATATCATTGATTTGTATTGATTGCGGGGCAATGGAAAGTAGTATCGATAATTTGAAATAAAAATGATATGTACGATACAGGCATATATACATATATCCAAATGTCCAGCTCTTGAAGTATTTGCGATCGAGGCACTCAAACTTACAGAAAAGACGATAGATATATCTATATCGATTCGGCCCCTTTATATGTACATTAGCACAAAATCATACAATATCATTTTTTACCATATATCTCTTCTTAACCTTACTCTATTTTTAACGGATCGTTACTTTAAAAGACAGAGGAAGATAGGTATAATATATTAATTGCATCGAAGATAATAATATAAGAATTACTGGAGAAGCACAAAAAATTTCAAAATATCAGAAGATCTCCATAAAAAAAATTGCTCTTAATTTAATACAATGATCTTATTTACTATTGCTTGAAGATTATTATACTTGTTTTTCAATATTCTCTATTTGGAAAATTTGAACATTTCAAAAATTCTTCGATTATTGGTAATTTTCTTAAATTGTAAAATTGATTTGGATGGACCAATTGACTTTTTTTGCTTTGGAAAATAAAATAGGACAGGCAACTAACTTTACTCAGTTAGTCGTATACTAAATATATTCAAAATAAAAAAATAATATCATTTGCTAAAGCTTCAGACAATTCTCAATTTGGTATTAAACTTATTTTCTTAAGAACTATAATCTCTATATATAAAACTGTTTGTCCTGACTGACTGACTGACTGACTGACTGACTCACTGATTGGTGATCAACGCACAGCCCAAACCGTAAGAGCTAGGAAGCTGAAATTTTCACTGTAGTCACCTTATGTGATGTAGGTGCACGTGAAGACTGGGTTTCGGGAAATTCAACCTGCAAGTGTGGAAAAATCGTGCAAAACGTTCGTATGTAACTTTTTTGTTTACCATCCGATCGGCCTCAAACTTATTTTCAAAGATCTTTGTTCAAATTCATTTGAGGCGTGTTTCACACTTTTCGAAAAATCCATTCCTCCTTGGTGGAAATGGAGGTCAAAGATTTGGTGGGTGACGTTTCGCGCTCAAATTCGTTTCCAAAGATCTATAAGAAAAATCATTTGAGACGTGTTTCACACTTTTCGCAGAATCCAAACTTTTTTTGGGTGGAATGCGACTCAAAGATTTTTTGGGCGAAGTTTTAAGTTGTGTCCGATTTGCTTCAAACTTATTTTCAAAGCTCTACATAAGAACTTAATGAATATGTATTTCAGCGATTTGGCAAATTCCACCCGCAATAGTGGTAAATTGGCGGAAAACGGTTGTATGAACGTTTTTTGGTTACCATCCGATCGGCCCCAAACTCATTTTCAAAGATCTATGTTCAAATTCATTTGAGGGGTGTTTCACACTTTTTGAAAAATCCATCCCTCCTTGGTGCAAATGGGGGTCGAAGATTTTGTGGGTGACGTTTTGTGTTCAATTTTATTTCCAAAGATCTATAAGAAAAATCATTTAAAAACGTGTTTCACATTTGTCGCAAAATCTTAACTCCTTCGGTGGAAAATGCATTTCAAAGATTTTTTTGGTGAATTTTAAGTTTTGTCCGATTTGCATAAAAGTTGTTTGATTCCCGTCCGATCAGTTTCAAAATCATTTTCAAAGCATTTTGAAAACATTGATTTTATAACATGCGTGCCAAGGGCAAGGCCAGGATATACCCGCTAGTATATAATATGGAGCTTCGATCCGGCCATATTAGATAAGTATACAGACTGTAGATGCTGGTCAACTGTTGATATATATATACATATATACCTCTTTGGGCCAGCAAACTTTCGAATGTTTTCCACCTCTGCTAATCTTTGTTGTCTTACCGAAGGTTTACTTAATTGTTGCTGCCTTTGTTAACTTCTTGATGAATACAGAGAAAAAAACGTCAAGTCTTAATCAAAGTTCGTGTTGCTTACATTCACTAATTCAAAAACACTTTCCGACACGAAAAATATTCCAAGAATAGGCTTATCATATATATGTATATATATATATATATATATATACATGTGAGCAATATATATAAATATATGTATATATATATTATATATATAAATCTTAAAGCTGTATATTAGATCGAGAGTACTCTGATGGATATTGGGGTCTGGACTTTGCGAGGCTTGAAGACGGTCGCTCTGGAAGAGGATGAAGTGGAGGTCAATGCAACGGGCGAATCGCTGCAAGCTTTCGTCTGGCCCACTGTGTCGACAGACTTCTATTTTCACATAAGCGAATTCATTGCCAATTTTATTTTCATTGTAATAACCGTGCTCATATTGAGGAAGTGCCTGATCCTGAGGATGAAGCGGACCGCGGAGCATGTCTTCTACTGCACGCTGGCGCAGATGCTGTCTGTTGCCGAGGCTTTGATGCTGCGCAACCTGCTGCTGCACACGTTCTTTGGCATGATCGGCTTTGTGGTCGGCTTCTTTGGTGTTGGCCTCCAGATCCTGCTCAAGCATAGGCGAGCTCGCGGCACAAGGCGCCACTTTCGCAGCAGCCACAGCATATTCGGCTTGGCTGGCTGCCTGCTGATGCCCGGCAGTTTCTTCACGGGAATGTGTCTGCTGATGTATCCGATGCGCAAACATTTATGCATCTCTGTACTATTCGCGCATCGGGTCTGCGGCCTCTTCTGCTTCATCATCCTGATGGCCTCGTTCATGTTCAGCTACAACACCGGCTTCATGCACCGCAACTGGGAGCAGCGTCGCATTTCGCTCTTCAAGTGCTGCACGCTAATCGCAACGATCACGGCCAGCTGCTACGAGTTCAGGTGCTTCGTAAGGGATGCCACCACTCTGATACCCAAGGCAGTATTCGAGTCAATATCCATATACGTGCGGGAGGACAAAACGAATTGAGCTGAGAGTCTGTTGAGCAAAAACAGACTAACTACAATTTCTCTGGAGCAGAAAGCATCGAGTTCTGATTACAAAAATCAGAGAGCTTGGGCTGTAGATGTACCCAAATTTTGGGGCTATAAAAATAATCATCATTTGAGACCTCTCGTTTGCTTCTTTTCTATTCATCTATGCATCTACGAGCTGTTGACTGATTCGCATGGCATACTTTCCCAGCGACCTTTGATTATTGTGGTTGGTGTCTGCATATCCATCAACTTGCTCCGATGGCCACGCCCATAACACGCCTATTCATCTTGCACATTTCGCACGCGTTTTATGCCCTGTAGGCATAAACTGAATTGATAGGGTTTCATAGCATGTCTATATATTTCATATTTAAAGCTGTTTGCCCCGATTGACCGTAAGAGCTGAATTTTGATTTGTGATATTTCACCCGCAGCTGTGGAAAATGAGTGGAAAACGATTGTATTAGACTTTCGTTTACTTTCCGTTCGAGTTCAAGCTTCTTATATATATTATTATCATTTTAAACAGGCGTCGAATCAGCATATTGTAAAAGCAACAGCGGAATATGCATAATATTTTATTCATTTTTCCGCAAGCAAATCTATATAAGGTGTTTTTTTTTTTGTGATTAAAATTCGTTTATTTACAGCTGATATACTGTTACTGTAGCTTAGCAACGTTTAATATTTAGCCAAAAGAAGAAAAGTAGGTATTGTTCAGTAGATTTTCATTTATGACACCTGAAAATAGAAATAAATAGTTGCCCACGCACTTCTGTTGTGCTGCTGAATGTAATGTATATATTATATATACATATATGAGGCAGGGAATCTGTTAGCACAACACGGCCGACCAGAGCTGCGCTAGACATGGGTTCAACTGTGGCACGACAAGTTGAAAAGTCACGAGCAGCGTGTGAAAGACTGTGGATACGGCGGCAACGCCGTCTTGCCCGGGCTGATGCCACACTTGAGTATATGACCGAGCGGCTGCGCCGTGCTCCAAGCAGTTGCCATGCGTCGCTGGCTGATGCGGCACTGGCCACTGGCCACTGGTCGGCGGCTCTGGGTGCTTGGGGTTCACGGATCTTTGATTGTATTGTCATTAGCGTGACGAGATTGGGTTCGAGTCTGGGTGCTTTTCGGCAGAGAATCGTCGTCGGTTTGCTTCTTTTTCTTTTACATTTTATTTATATTTTGTTTTGAGGTCTTGGGTTCTGTTGTGGTCAATTGGTGTTGGCTTTTGTTCCTGTTGCGGTCACTGAACTTTGATCAGCGTTTGGCCATCTTTTCACCAATTTCGGCACTTGAATTCGATATGAATTCGAAATGGATGCCGTTGCTGAAGCTGGTGCCGTTGCCCATTCCATGGGCGTAATTATGTCAATCTCTAGAGCTATCTTTGATTATACTCTTGAATGTGCGAGTGTGCGTGTGTGTGTGATGGCACCGGCTCTGTGTGAGCGGATGTCTAGAATGATTCTTTAGTCGGTTGGCAGAGTTTCGTGGTTTCGTTTCATCTGTTTTGTTTTCTATTTTTTTTGATTTTATTTCATTTTTTTTCTGTTTTGTGTGTTTGTTTGTTTCCCACTGCCCTCTGCTCGAGCCGACAGAGTTCTCGGGAGCTTTTTGCATAAAAACCTAGCGGCGTCCAGTGATTCTGTACAGTTCTTTGGAACTTTGCTTACAATTAAGTAGGACAATACGCAGCGCAGCGCCACGCACAGATTCTCCAGACAGGATCCCAGATAGTAAGCCATGTCCAAGCTAAGCGCCCTACTCGTGCTCAGCTGCCTGCTGGCCCTGGCCTTGGCTCTGCCGGGTAAGTAGCATTGGGCACCAGCTGCAGGTCTACAGCCCTGCAGCCCTGCAGCCCAGAATCCCTCCTAATTGAACCATTGCAATTGCAGAGCCACGCCTACAACAGAGACAACTGCGCCAGCAGCTGCAGCAGAAGCATCCGTATCTGTTCTTTACGGTGCCACGCGGACGCGCCAATGCTGGTGCCGTGGTGCAGGGCTTTGAGGTTGTGGAGGAGCCCGAAGATCTGGACAATGATGACGATGATGACGCTGAGTCGGACATTCCGGTGAGGCGCCTGCAGCACAATGCTGACGATGACCTCAATGATGATGATGACGATGACGACCTGGCCGACGATGATGATGATGATGATTTTGATGCGCTGCCGGCAAGGCGTGGCGTCAGCTTCGCGCGCAATGGCCACCTTGTGCTGCTCAATGGCGGCGACAATGTTGACAACGATGTCGACGACGAGCAGGACGATGACGAGGACACACACTTGCCCGTGGTGCTGGCCAAGTCGGGCTTGGGCCGCAAGCCGTCCGCCGTCAGCGGCCAACAGCTGCTGAAGAACGCCAAGCCCACGCAGATGATGGTGGCCAGAGATCAGGCTGGCGCCATCATGGTGCCCGACGGCATCATTGAGATCGAGGGCCAGAGCGTCGTCGACGAGAAGACGGGCAAGGCAGCGCTGCTGGTGCCGCGCGCCGCCCTCGATGCCATACCCGACGGCGCCGTCGTCGCCCTGATGGAGCGCTCAGCCGGCGAGTCAGATGTCGGGGAGGAGCGCGCCAATCGTGTCATCGTGCGTCGCCGCAAGACCGGCGGACGCCGCAATGTCCAGCGTCGTCGTCGTGGCGGCCGTCCAGTGCGTCGTCGCAGCGGTGGGCGCCGACGTGGCACCGGCGGCAATCGTCGTCGCAATGTCCGTGTCATCCGCCCCGGCGGCAATCGCCGACGCGCCGGCGTCCAACGTCGCCGTGGTGGCCAGATTATGCTGCAGGGCTAAGCTGGACCAGACCACAAATGACTTTCTAGTATTATAGTTAAGAGCCAAACAGGACCATAAAAGTGCGACAATTGAAAACGATTCGATGAAATAAAAATGTGATATGAAAATAATGAGACTGGTTTACTTTGAAATGTTGCTTCAACTTTGAGTACTTAAAAAATGAATTCTCTTTTATGAGTCTCTCCTGCAACGTTTTATTTAAATATTTTTTACGATTTAAGTTATAGCATAATTAATTTTGTTATTTTTCCAAATTTAAACATAGTTTTGCGCTCTGTTTTATCTTTCATATAGGCGTATTCATTAGCTGTTTTTTACACATTCTAAGAAATTCCACTGAGTCGTCGAGTTCCAAATTTTTTTTTAGTTTGCCTCTGCTCCTTTCCTTCTTTCTGTGTCTGAGCAGGTTTCGACTTGTTTATTCATAAGACTGGCGATTTTAGTTAGCGCAGAACATTTCAGGTTGATCTGACCCAAATTTCTGCCCGTCTGGCGGCCACGTAGCGTATGCGCAATATGCCAGAAATATGAACTTTTGCTCGGCCTTTGACTATAATCAATAATTATTCTTAAAGAGCTCTCAGCACGAGTCTAGCATATTCTCGCTTGTATTGAACACTGTGAAAAGATTCTGCATTTAACAAAATAAATGTAAATAAATATTATAATAATTTCTTTAAATTACATTTAGTTAATTTCTTTTTGTTTTCATATTTAATAAGCAGCTTTCCGGCAGACCAGCTCATTCAGCACATTCTATTTTAAAGGAAGGCAAATCTATTAATATAACAAATTATTACAATGTGTAATTGTATATGTATATAATAAACTAGCCGATTAACGAGAAAATAATCATTTTGTACACATGTTCAGGCAGCATATAAACATATTATAATCATAATCATATATACTATATCTAGTATTAAGAGTCTGATCCCCGAGCAGTTTATTGCTGAAATGTGCTCTATGTCAACTATAGATTTCAGATTTTTGCGATCGAGTCAAAGACATTGTTTGTGAGGCTCACCTTATATCAAATGTCTTCCTATATTCAATGCCTAATCCTCATTAGCTTACAGCACTTATTTTAAACATTTTTTACTTGAACAAGCTAATTTTACCTTTTACGTTTTTACATTAAGTGTTATTTTTTGAACCACGATTTTTAATTTATGGTATCATATTAAGACCCTGACTATTATATCTAATGCCCACTAATTTCTCAGAGAGTTCTATTATTTTATGCCCAGCACTTTTTACTTTATTCCTTCATTTATTTCATGCCCTTAACCTTATACCTAATTGTATATATATGACCTCTTAACACCTCACACCATCAAGATTATGTTTCATAGTGATCCGCTGAACTTTTTCATAGGCCAAAAAGCGTTTTATGGAAGTTTTATTTATAGACTGACGGAAAATGAGTCTTCCAAGCAAAGGTAAGGTGGTAAGGGATCTTCAGGCTGCAGGACCTATTACCAGTATATCTAACTGGGAGAAGAGGCTTTGTAGAAGAAAACAACGAAGGTTTCACATTAGTCAGCCCATCGATCTATGCCCATCGATTTCTAAATAAAGTTTAGTTTAGTTTCATCATTTTTATTACATTATGTACGCCTGCCATGTTAAAGATGCTAGGCAAAGGTATTAAGAAGTTAACTGTAATTAAAAAAGGACATATTCATAGTCATCCTATTGATAAGCTAAGAGTGTAGCTGTCTGCAAAATCAGTTGAGCAGCTGGCTAGCTGGGCTGGGAATTCAATTGGTGATTGCAAAAGGTGGCAAAGGTGGCAAAACACAACAAACGGCGGAAACTGCAACGAATGGCAGACATTGGAAGACCTAGTACAATAGAAAATTAGAAAACTATTTAAATTCTCACCTGGGGCCACAATATGGATTTACACGGTTCGTTTCGAGCACTGTTTTGTCGGCTGGCCGCTTGGCACAGTGAAGAGTTCAAATATTCTGATGCTGCGATAATCAATCATAAGAGCGGCTAGTGCGAGAGGGCGCTATAGTTGTTGGCCAATATTCTGTGGCTTGGTGTTCTGTTCTGTAAATTAGCATTAGCATAATACTTAAGACCAAAAACGGCAACTGTGGATACATTGGATACGTTGGCCTCTTCACTTTGACCTGCCCGCGGCGCTGGCGAGATTAATCACACCGTGTAGCAGGGGAATTGCCGAAATGGGCGGCTGTGCTGGGCGCGAGGAGAGGTCCGGGGGTGCGACTGTAATCCATCAACCATCCTGACCAGAACTTGGCTGATTGCTGTTCATGTTGATGGGTATATAATCGGCGTGCTCCCAGCTGCTGTCAGTCAGTGGCGAGTGCAAGCTCAGAGCCAACAAGTGCCCAGCCCCAGTCGATACTCATATACCGTCCAGTCATCCTATCAAGGAGCACAACTTCTTCAGTTCCTTTAGCCCACAATGCACTGTCTGCCACAATTGATACTGGCGCTGGCGCTATGCGCGCTGCTGTCGCCGCCAGAGGCATTCGGTAAGTTCCATCTAGCATCTGCCATGTCTTCCACATGATCTGTAATGCTTTGACCAAACGCCTTATTCACAGCCCAGCGCTATGGCTCCAACTATCGCTTGGGTCTGCGTTCCGTGGGCCGTGGCGAGCATGTCTTGCCCGAGGGTCGGTTCACCTCGTCGATTGTGAACAAGTTTAGCACACTGAAGGGCACCACCACCACAACAACCGCGGAGCCATCCACCACCCTTACACCCACCCCAACAACCACGCCCACCACAACAGGCACCACAGATACCACTTCGCCAACCAGCGACACGACGGCAACCTCACCATCAGCAACGACGACAACGGGTCGTGCCTTTGGCGATGAGGCCGATCCGCAGGTCGATGATGAGGAGGAGCCGGCCTTCAATGCAAATGCACGCGCCTACAATGACGACGTCGATGACGACGAGGAGGACGAAAGCAGCGCCGCAGGCGACGACGACGACGACAATGACGATAACGATGATGAGGATGAGGACGGCGATTACTTTGTGCTGGCCGCCGGCGCTGGAGCTGGTGCCGGTGTCGCTGCTGCTGGCAAGCCAGCGCCAGCAGCCATCAGCGCCGGAATGCCAGGCTATGTGCGTCGCCCATCGGAGCAGCAGTGGCGCCAGTTCCAGCTGGAGCAGCGCAATCGCCGGCGCATGAATCGCCTGCAGCGCGAGCACAACCAGCGCATCCGTGAGCTAGTGCGTCGCCAGCGCATCTCGCAGCGCCGCAACAGTCAGCGCCTCCAACGCATCCAGCAGCAGAATCGCAGACGCGCCGCCAAGCGCAATCGCCGGAACAAGAACCGCTCCAAGTCGCAGCGCCAGCGCCGTCGCCGCAACAATGTGGAGCGTCGCCGCCGCCAGAAGGCCCAGCGCCAGCGTCGCCGCCAGCGCCTCAGCCAGCGCCGTCGTCTGCGCCAGCTGCTCCGTCGTCGCCGTGGTCGCGGCCGCAGCGTGAGACGCGTCGTGGTTGCCTAAACCGTACCGGCTGCAGGATATGGCACACATCTGATCGAATCCATGTAACGAGCAAACGCAATGGCCGCTAAAAAGGCCCCAAAATAAATTGAATTTTTCAACAAAGATCCCAAATTCTCCAAATGATTAACGAGTCCTGCCCACATACTTAGTTGGCAAGAGCCGCTAAAACGAACACAAGATCAGTCCGCACATGATCTCAATACGAATATACCAGAACGCAGCTTTAGCTCCTTTTTCCAGACAGGATCACGTGTGCTAGATGTAACAGTCAAGTGCTTTAAAATGATGATATTGCAGGGGCTTATCCAAATACGAGTACCCAACAAATCGCAGTGCTAACTAATTTTTCTAGTGATGCGATCTATATGATCTTCATGGCCTTGCATTTTAGAAGATCTGATATGAGTTTTATTCTTATCCGGCAATTTGAAATTATCTTTTGAATTGCATTTTAGTAGATCTTCACTAAATCGTGTTCAGTTCCGTTTTATAGATCGCCACCTTAGCAAACGATTGATGCCAGTTCCTTTCTACACAACTTGTAGATTAATGATCGCATTTGAATTTAACCTAAACCTAATTTTCGTTTGGTTCCTTTTTAAATTTACAATTCTACAAAATTTCGCTTGTGATCTAGTTCCATCTTAAGTAGCTGTAACTGATCTGAAATCTTCAACTGAATTTAAATTACCTTCCACTTAGTTACTTAAATACAATGGAAGTTCTTTTCTGAATAGTTTGTGATCTGATGAGCAAAATCAAGTGATGTTTGTTTGGCAAACCATTTGCGAATTGCATTTTGCAATTGAACTAAATTCGGATCGTAGGTCTGATCAGTGCGGTTCATTGACTCTGGTTACACTTTCGCCCTTAGGCGATGTTTCTGTTTGGATTCCAGAGTTTCTGTTGGCCTGGAACAAAGGCAACGGCCATGTATGAATATGCTAATGCGCATCGATTGATTCGCAGATACAGATACAGCTATGCAAATCGCGTGTAGCGCGGATCGTGGAGCGCGAACAAGACCGAGAACGGGCTGAGGTGAGGTGTGGTGAAGCTAGGGTTATCAGGTTGTTGCGCCGGGTCAACATCAGCGTTATTTATGGGATTATGCAAAATGGCTTACAACTAGCGATCAAGCAGACTGCGCCAGTTAAGCTAGAGCCTATTTCGTTTGCTCTGCTCCGATCCGATCCGATCCGATATGCTTCTGTCGCTCTCTTTGGCATTGTAACTCTCTTGGGCATTTTAGGCCTACTAATTAGCCAAATGTTACAGACCAGGTTGTAACTGTAGGCATATAAATATGCCAGCGGTGGCCGTTGTAAGTCAGTCAGGCAGCGATACGCATCCAATAGAGATTCGCAGCAATTAGCCAAAAGAAAGAAAAAAATAACAAGTAGCCAAAGGACATGCACATGCTCAGGGGTTTACTCATCGTGGCCTGCCTGGCAGCCATTGCGCTGCAGGCTAGCGGTAAGTAGCGCCAGAGGCTGTCCCACCTGTACAGGTGTCAACTCAAGTTCCATCCAATTGCAGCCAAGCAGCAGCAGGCCAGACGTGGACATCAGCAGTATCAGCTGTTTGGACGCCAGCTGAAGGATTACGATCTGCCGGCCGAGGGACGCGTCAGTCCGACCAAGCTGGCAGCCGTGCTCAGTGCCGCGCTTGGCAACTCGAACGGCTCCTCGCCCACGCCCACAACCACCACCATAACGACCACCCCAACGACATCGACCGGCACCTCCACCACAACTACGACACCGTCGGCAACTGCGACATCACCGACATCAACAGCGTCCACCACTGGATCAGCGGCAAGGCAGGCCTTGAACGACGACGATGACGACGATGATGCCGAGGAGGAGGGACAGATCTACCAGCTGGCCAATCAATTCGATCTGGAGGACGATGATGAGGTCAATGACATCAACGATGTCGCCGCCTTTGAGGGTCATGTCATCCGCAGTGGTCAGCGCAGTCGGGATGATGCTCTGGCGCGCCAGCGCCGTCAGTTCAAACGGAAGCAGCAAGTGCAGCGTCGCCGCCAGCAGCAGGCCAAGCAGCGCCGTCGCCAGAAGCGTCGCCAACAGCAGCAGCGCCGTCGCCAACGCCAGCAGCAGCAGCGCCGTCGTCGCAACCGTCGCCGCAACATGCGCCTGATCAAGCGCTTCCGCCAGGGCGGCAACCGGAACCGTAACAGGCGCGTCATCCGCGTCCGCGCATAGGACATAACAGCATATGCAAATTGCCTGGCAACCTATTGTGAACCCTTCTCTCGAATATAATATATACTGATCAACCTATTTGCATAGTTTTATTTACGACCCGATCCTGAAGACCATAGAAGGCCGACGAGGTACCCAACCGAGGAAGTTTTTCTCCACTTCATCTCAAGTCTCCAAAAATCAGAAATTATATACTTATATTCATTTATATTATTGAAGCTCGTTGCGCGTGCTCAACATATCTGTCAGAAGGGACCGATTCTTCCTATACAGCTAAGTGATACAAAAGTCCCTTGCTGCAGATTGGTATTTGGTCAGCTAAGAAATGCAAATTGGGATCGAAATATCTTGAAAGATAAACCCGATCCGACATATTTACTGACTGCCCCTGAAAGTCGGACTTATGTAAAGTTTCTAGACGATAAAACTGAAATAGGCCGACTCGTCTGTTAAAATGGATCCACAAAATATCTTTTCATTTGTATTTGATCCTAGATCCTTAGATTTCTTCATGATAAAACTAAGTATGATGCGCTCTGTACGGGCTTGAGAAATCATTTAATGTTGCTCATACTATGATAAAGCCAATTAATATACATCTAAGAAAACTCTTGTCGGAATGGTGAATAGAATAGAGTTGGCCAGAAGAGTTTAAAAAAATATTTGACTAGAATAGTGGACTAGAACATTTAACTAGAATTCCAAGAGCTCCTTAAGGTGTTCACAGTTCCTTGCAAATCTACATAAAGTAGACTTTGCTAGATTCTCAGAAGAACGACCTTCTGTTGAAGTACAATTAGAGCCTAGTATATGTTTCTTCTTGTAAGAAAAAGGCTCTGCTTTTAATTGATCACGTAGTATTAGTCGTGAAGAAATGCCTAAAAAAAAACAAAATACTCAGTGTTGTAAATCACGAAAGGAGAGCTACTTCCAACACGATACATGCAAGTCTACAGTAAACTAGTCTAGTCTAAGTAACAGCGAAGTAGAATGGAGAGTAATTTAAGAATGTAAGTCTACAACTGTGAATACCCGAAATGTTTTTGTAATTGAAGTGACCAATTGCATATACTGAAAAAAAACATTCGGGAAAGAGTCGACTAGAATTCTGTAGGCAGATGTTCATACATATTTTAAATGTCAAACAGTTTGGAGATGGAAACGAATATGAATTGCAAATGTAATAGAAAATCAACTTGTAATATGAACATTTAGCTGTACAGTGGTCCCCCTGTATTTCTGATCTATTTATTGTCAACAGCCTGATGACAATTTCCTATTGGCGCTGTAAGAGCTGTCAGAATTGATTAGCTCTTGACACTCAGAACGCATGCATATATTAAACGAAAAGTGAAGATGTTTGATGTTAGACGTTAGCCACGTATTGTGTGGTCCGCTTGTGATATATTGTTGATTTTACGGGCGAGATCCGATTTGGATCGCAGCTGTTTTCATTGCGAACTTTGTCGCTGGGTCAATCTGGTTCATTGGAAGCGAATGGAGCGAGCGGGCAATAGAAATGTTGCCAAAAATTTATGCGAAAATTTGCAAATTTGCTAAAATGATAATGAGAATTATTAGCACCGACTAGCTGGACTAGTTGTTGTTGCCAACTGGAGCTTGGCCTCGGGTATATAACCCTGCCGGGCCGTTGGCATTGGCACAGTCAAGCAGCAATATTGCCCCAGGCAAGCAGCAAGCCGGAGCTCGCCAGGATCTAAAGAGACACACGCACGCACACACACACATATATAAATATAGGAATTACCAGAAGAATATATCATCATGAGATTTCTGGGTTGTGCACTGCTGTTGCTTACAGCAGCGGCTTTGGCCAGCGCAGCAGGTGAGTTCAGCTGAGAGCGGCGAGCGTTTGATATCAGTTGTTATATCATAATATCAATCCGCAGTTGGACGCAGCGAGGATGATGAGGCATCGCCGCAGAGGTACCGCCTGTTCAAGCGCAGCGCCGCTGCCGAGGGCAGAACCCTGTCGCAGCTGCTGTCGCTGAAGGGCGGCAACTGTCCGCCAGCGACATCTACAACCACAATAACGCCCACACCCACGACCACCACAGGCACCTCGACCACGACAACAACTCCATCGGCCACCTCATCATCGCCATCGCCATCATCGCCGGCGACATCGGCTCGTGGCTACAACGACGACGACGAGGAACTCGCTGATGAGCAGGACGTGGACGTCGACGATGATGACTATGATCTGGATCGCCTGCACGCCGACGATGATGAGTTGACCGCCTTTGAACTCAACAGCCTGACGCGCCGTGGCAGCAGCCGCCCAGTGATGGCCAGCAACCAGTTGTCCGACAGCACTCGCCTGCAAGCCTACGAGCTGCGCCGTCAGGCGGAGCAGAACAAGCTACTGCGCCAGCGCATCCAGTTCCTGCGCCGCCAGACCGCCCAGAATCGCCGTCGCGCCCAACGCGCCCGCAAGCAGCAGCGCCGCCGCAACAAGAACAATCGCCGCCGCTTGAGCCGCAGGAATCGCCGCAATCGCCGTCGCGCCAACACTCGCAATCGCATTGCCAGACGCCGCCAGAGAAGGAACCGTCGTCGCAATTAGATCAGCTACCCCAGCCAGCTTTAATAGCATGCATTGACAATCGAAGCTTCTGAAATAAATCGAATACAAAAGCATATTGTGACTCAAAGAGTGGGAAAGAGAGGCAGAGAGAGGGATAGAGAGAGAGATAGAAGAGAGATTGAAAGCTTAGTTAACTGGAAGTTAAATTCCATCCCTTCTTCTCATTCGCTTATCAACAACTTTTTTATGAAGTACAAATTTATATATACATATACATATATATGTATATATACAAGTTTGACCACTTGCTAAAGAGCTTGTTAACTTTGTATCTACGCTGCAAATTTTTAGCAGTTGGATGAAGTGCTTGTCACAGCTTTCACAGGCAACCCAATTAAGGCAGATTATGGACAATAGGTTAAAGGTTGGACAACATGTTTAAGAGCTTGTTAATTTTGTATACTCTTTGCAAATATGCAAACAATATACTGCTTGTAATAGATTTGACAGGCAGATCAATGAAACAAACTTAACTTATTATTTACAGTGTATTGCCTGAAGTGACCTCACTCTAAACAAACCGTAGGGTTTTACTAAATTTTGCAGATTATAACGAGAATCTTTAGTATTGCATTTAGTCTGCATTACTTGTCAAAGTTTTAATATTTTTTGTTTGTTGAAGCTTTATATATATGTTTTTGCATTGAGTTTTCGATGATTCGCATGTTAATATCTTCTTGTTCTTTTCGTTATCTAAATCTATTTCACTTAAGACTTTCTTATTTTTTTCTCCACTTCTAAACATGTTTCTATCTTTACCTTTAAGTCCATTCGGCTTCTGGAATTCTTAGATCTTTTGTTAATTCGAATTTGAAGAAGATTTAGGTCTTGCATGTGGAGCAAGCAACTTATATGGAAGGGACTGCAATAGCTGGTATGGTTCATATGCTATATATGGATCATAAAAGCGGCCTACCAGGTTGGAACTGAGGCTGCCCTGCGGCTGGCTGGTGCACCTTCAACCCATTTGCCTCTTATTAGAAACTCAGGTTTCGGTGCGCTGGCAACTGAATTGGTTTTCACTTTTTCTGAACAACACGAGGTGTCCAATGGCCAAACGTCGGACTTAGACATGGACTGGGATTGAGACTGAGCGTTGATGATGACAGCGACAATTGAACTGGCTGGCATGATGGGCAGGGCCAAGGGCGCGCGGCAACTTTGACGAGGGAGGGCTCATTGCCAAGTGCGCGAAACGCGCATAGAAAGCAGCCAAAGCGGCCAGCGCAACGGCTCAATGGTTGAACGCTTGACTGGCTGGGACCGGGTGCCGAGATGATAAGCAGAACGAGACTCGACAGCGATGACGGTGAAGAACTATTCGCCGGGGCCTTGATGGCATGCTCAAATAGCTGCAAGCGTTATTTTTGTCTTCTCTTTTATTTTTCTCGAAAAATTGAATTCAATTCAATTGTGAATTGCGTACATTTTCTGGATAGGCAGAGTCAAATTCCCTAGGCCATTTACAGTTAGCACCCGAGCAATGGGCAATGGAATTTGGGATTTGCGATCTGGCATTTGCATAAGTATTGATGGCATCGCACTCGCAAAGGCGGGTATAAAAGGCTTTCAATTTAGGCGATAATGTATCAAACATTGATTACCAATCAGTGCGAGCACACACGACTGGGACTCGACCTCGAACTCGGACGCAACTGCCAGCAAGTGAAATCGTCTGCTCGAAAAGTTCTCATACGCTATTCCGCTGAGTAGTTTCTGCAGCTCCAACGATGAAGCATCCAGTCGCATCCTTACTACTCCTCTCCAGCCTCATGTGCCTCATGGTGCTGGCCGAGAGGCCGTCGCACATGCTGAAGGCTCGGCGCGGCTCCTATTTTAATGAGCCCGCCCTGGCACGCTCCAACGATGCCAACGCGGCTGTGGCTCTCGATGCGAATGACGACAAGGATAAGCTGAGCGAAGCAGCCGCTGTCATTGGCGGCGCCAGCAGCAGCAGCAGCAGCAGCAGCGGCAGCATCAGTGCCACGGGCAACAAAGATGCTTCCAGCGGACGGCTGTTCCTCAAGAAGTTCCTTATGTTCAAAAATATGTTCAGCAGCAACAGTCAGCCAGTGATACCCATTATCATAACTGGAGCTGGCAGCGGCACCGCTACCTCCCCGACCACCACAGTGACATCGACGGGCTCGATTCCAACGGCCACGGGCACAGTCACCACCTCGCCGACGTCACCCACATCACCGACATCGCCCACGACGGCCACAGGTCGCGAGTATTATGGCCAGCAGGAGGACGAACAGCTGGAGGGGGATGAAGCCGCTGAGGAGGAGTCCAAGCCAGCGGGTGCCGTTGCCATGGCCGCCAATGCTGAACTGATCGACGAGCAGGCCCTCCAGGCGGCACTTGCTGCCGGCGCACAGGAGTACGAGGTGTTTACCGAGGGGGATCAGGCTGACACCGGAGCCACCGAGAGCAAGGCCAGCCAGAACAATCGCATCAATCTGCGACGCAAGGGTGCTCGCCGCGGCCAGGGCCAGATGATCAGCGTGCGCATACCGCCCCGCTACCGTCGCTACTTCAAGAACGGGCAGAAGGTCATGTTGAATACCAAGAGCCGACCCAACAAACGTCGCGTCGTCCGAAGGCGTGTGCAGAACAAGAACAAGCGCTTCAACAACCGTCGTCGCGGCGGCAAGAACAAGAACAAGAAGGGCAAGGGCAAGAACAAGAACAAGCGCCCACGCCTGCCCGTGGTCTAAGCGCGGGACAAATCGCGATCCGAGCAAGAACCCGGGTATCGACGATTCCCAATGAGCAAGACAATACACATCATTTTTTTTTTCTAATTTATTATAGCTAATCTTAAATTGAAGTCGCACTTCTTTTGGTCAAACAGAATAAATGAAATCTTTCGAAGAGTACTCGACCCACTTTTACTTCTTTCCAATTGTTGAGGCCTCTTCAACGATCGTGTTGGGGCATTCAACTGCCTCAGGCACCGAGCTATTTAAGCCGCATGCTGCTGCCGTCAGCTAAGAGAGTCCAAGATGAACCGTGCCCCGTACTGGATGCTGATAATCGTGCTGATCGCACTCGCTGCCAGGCTCAGCGCCGCGGGCTGTGCCGGCGCCACACAGAAGCTGAGACTGCGTCTGCGCACCACCCCGAATGAAGTGGCCGGCGAAGAGACCGGAGAACAGCAGCTGGATCTGAGCCAGCTGAGCGAGTCACAGCTGCAGCAGCTCATGCAGCAGCTCAACCTGGCCGATGAGTACGAAGAGGATCATCGCGGCAGCAGCCGGCCCTGGAACAAGGTGCAGCGAATCATACGGCGCCAGCTAGTGCGCATACCCAAGCGCTACCTGAAGAAGCTGCTCCGGCAGTTCGGATTGGCGCGCGCCGGCAACTATCGCAGCGGTTCGCTTCAGTGGGAGCCTGAAGTGGAGGCACAGCCTGAGCTCTATTATCTGATACCGCTGGAATAAGAGATATTATGCTTTATGATAACAGTATTAAAATATAAAACCTGAATTTATTGTGCAGTTCATCAATGTGCATAAGCAGGGGCATTGGGCAATCATCAGAAAAGGTTGATTTTACAAACCACTTTTTTTAACCCATCGATTTTTTTAATGTTTGAATGCAGATTAATAGTAGGGATCCTTACGAATTCAAAAAGGTATAACATTTCAAAATCTGACAGTATTTACCCGAGATATTCAATACAAATAATCAAAAACATTTTGATTTTCGAACCGACCCCGAATTTGAGAAAAAACGTGATGTAACCCCTTGCCATTTTGTTGATTTTGGTCAAAATTTAGATTATTATATTTTTGATGCCAATCAATAGTAGTGATCCCTACGAGTCAAAAATGGTATAAAATTCCCAAATCGGACATTATTTGGCCGAGATATTAAAAAAAATCATCAGAAAAGGTTGACTTTACAAACGAATCGGTTTTTGGTCAACCACTTTTTTTAACCCATAGATTTGTAGAATGTTTGAATGCAGATTGATAGTAGGGGTCCCTACGAATTCAAAAAGGTATAACATTTCAAAATCTGACAGTATTTACCCGAGATATTTAATAAATATCATCAAAAAAGTTTTGATTTTCGAACCGATCCCGAATTTGAGAAAAAACGTGATGATTTTGTTGATTTTAGTCAACATTTAGATTTTAATACTTTTGATGCCAATCGATCGTAGTGATCTTTACGAGTCCAAAATGGTATAAAATTCCCAAATCGGACATTATTTGGCCGAGATATTCCAAAAAATCATCAAAAAAGGTTGACTTTACAAACGAATCGGTTTTTGGTCAACCACTTTTTTTAACCAATCAATTTTTTTTTATGTTTGAATGCAAATTGATAGTAGGGATCCCTACGAATTCAAAAAGGTATAACATTTCAAAATCTGACAGTATTTATCCGAGATATTTAATAAATATCATCAAAAAAGTTTTGATTTTCGAACCGACCCCGAATTTGAGAAAAAACGTGATGTAACCCCTTGCCATTTTGTTGATTTTGGTCAAAATTTAGATTTTTCTATTTTTGATGCCAATCGATCGTAGTGATCCCTACGAGTCAAAAATGGTATAAAATTCCCAAATCGGACATTATTTGGCCGAGATATTAAAAAAAATCATCAGAAAAGGTTGACTTTACAAACGAATCAGTTTTTGGTCAACCACTTTTTTTAACCCATCGATTTTTTTTTATGTTTGAATGCAAATTGATAGTAGGGATCCCTACGAATTCAAAAAGGTATAACATTTCAAAATCTGACAGTATTTACCCGAGATATTCAATAAAAATCTTCAAAAAATATTGATTTTCGAATCATTTTTTGAGAAAAAACGTGATGTAACCGCTTGCCATTTTGTTGATTTTGGTCAAAATTTAGATTTTTATATTTTTTTTTGATGCCAATCGATAGTAGTGATCCAATCGATAGTAGTAGTCCAAAATGGTATAAAATTCCCAAACCGGACATTATTTGGCCGAGATATTCCAAAAAATCATCAAAAAAGGTTGACTGTACAAACGAATCGGTTTTTGGTCAACCACTTTTCTTAACCAATCAATTTTTTTTTATGTTTGAATGCAAATTGATAGTAGGGATCCCTACGAATTCAAAAAGGTATAACATTTCAAAATCTGACAGTATTTACCCGAGATATTCAATAAAAATCTTCAAAAAATATTGATTTTCGAATCATTTTTTGAGAAAAAACGTGATGTAACCGCTTGCCATTTTGTTGATTTTGGTCAAAATTTAGATTTTTATATTTTTTTTTGATGCCAATCGATAGTAGTGATCCAATCGATAGTAGTAGTCCAAAATGGTATAAAATTCCCAAACCGGACATTATTTGGCCGAGATATTCCAAAAAATCATCAAAAAAGGTTGACTGTACAAACGAATCGGTTTTTGGTCAACCACTTTTCTTAACCAATCAATTTTTTTTTATGTTTGAATGCAAATTGATAGTAGGGATCCCTACGAATTCAAAAAGGTATAACATTTCAAAATCTGACAGTATTTATCCGAGATATTTAATAAATATCATCAAAAAAGTTTTGATTTTCGAACCGACCCCGAATTTGAGAAAAAACGTGATGTAACCCCTTGCCATTTTGCTGATTTTGGTCAAAATTTAGATTATTATATTTTTGATGCCAATCAATAGTAGTGATCCCTACGAGTCAAAAATGGTATAAAATTCCCAAATCGGACATTATTTGGCCGAGATATTTAAAGAAATCATCAAAAAAGGTTGACTTTACAAACGTATCGGTTTTTGGTCAACCACTTTTTTTAACCCATAGATTTGTAGAATGTTTGGATGCAGATTGATAGTAGGGGTCCCTACGAATTCAAAAAGGTATAACATTTCAAAATCTGACAGTATTTACCCGAGATATTCAATAAAAATCATCAAAAACATGGATTTTTGAACCTACCCCGAATTTGAGAAAAACGTGATGTAACCCCTTGCCATTTTGTTGATTTTGGTCAAAATTTAGATTTTTATATTTTTGATGCCAATCGATCGTAGTGATCCCAACGAGTCCAAAATGGTATAAAATTCCCAAATCGGACATTATTTGGCCGAGATATTCCAAAAAATCATCAAAAAAGGTTGACTTTACAAACGAATCGGTTTTTGGTCAACCACTTTTTTTAACCAATCAATTTTTTTTTATGTTGGAATGCAAATTGATAGTAGGGATCCCTACGAATTCAAAAAGGTATAACATTTCAAAATCTGACAGTATTTATCCGAGATATTTAATAAATATCATCAAAAAAGTTTTGATTTTCGAACCGATCCCGAATTTGAGAAAAAACGTGATGTAACCCCTTGCCATTTTGTTGATTTTGGTCAAAATTTAGATTTTTATATTTTTGATGCCAATCGATCGTAGTGATCCCAACGAGTCCAAAATGGTATAAAATTCCCAAATCGGACATTATTTGGCCGAGATATTCCAAAAAATCATCAAAAAAGGTTGACTGTACAAACGAATCGGTTTTTGGTCAACCACTTTTTTTAACCCATAGATTTGTAGAATGTTTGAATGCAGATTGATAGTAGGGGTCCCTACGAATTCAAAAAGGTATAACATTTCAAAATCTGACAGTATTTATCCGAGATATTTAATAAATATCATCAAAAAAGTTTTGATTTTCGAACCGATCCCGAATTTGAGAAAAAACGTGATGTAACCCCTTGCCATTTTGTTGATTTTGGTCAAAATTTAGATTTTTATATTTTTGATGCCAATCGATCGTAGTGATCCCAACGAGTCCAAAATGGTATAAAATTCCCAAATCGGACATTATTTGGCCGAGATATTCCAAAAAATCATCAAAAAAGGTTGACTGTACAAACGAATCGGTTTTTGGTCAACCACTTTTTTTAACCCATAGATTTGTAGAATGTTTGAATGCAGATTGATAGTAGGGGTCCCTACGAATTCAAAAAGGTATAACATTTCAAAATCTGACAGTATTTACCCGATATATTCAATAAATATCATCAAAAAAGTTTTGATTTTCGAACCGACCCCGAATTTGAGAAAAAACGTGATGTAACCCCTTGCCATTTTGCTGATTTTGGTCAAAATTTAGATAATTATATTTTTGATGCCAATCAATAGTAGTGATCCCTACGAGTCAAAAATGGTATAAAATTCCCAAATCGGACATTATTTGGCCGAGATATACCAAAAAATCATCAAAAAAGGTTGACTTTACGAACGAATCGGTTTTTGGTCAACCACTTTTTTTAACCCATAGATTTGTAGAATGTTTGAATGCAGATTGATAGTAGGGGATCCTACGAATTCAAAAAGGTATAACATTTCAAAATCTGACAGTATTTACCCGAGATATTCAATAAAAATAATCAAAAACATTTTGATTTTCGAACCGACCCCGAATTTGAGAAAAACGTGATGTAACCCCTTGCCATTTTGTTGATTTTGGTCAAAATTTAGATTATTATATTTTTGATGCCAATCAATAGTAGTGATCCCTACGAGTCCAAAATGGTATAAAATTCCCAAATCGGACATTATTTGGCCGAGATATTCCAAAAAATCATCAAAAAAGGTTGACTTTACAAACGAATCGGTTTTTGGTCAACCACTTTTTTTAACCCATAGATTTGTAGAATGTTTGAATGCAGATTGATAGTAGGGGATCGTACGAATTCAAAAAGGTATAACATTTCAAAATCTGACAGTATTTACCCGAGATATTCAATAAAAATCTTCAAAAAATATTGATTTTCGAATCATTTTTTGAGAAAAAACGTGATGTAACCGCTTGCCATTTTGTTGATTTTGGTCAAAATTTAGATTTTTATATTTTTTTTTGATGCCAATCGATAGTAGTAGTCCAAAATGGTATAAAATTCCCAAACCGGACATTATTTGGCCGAGATATTCCAAAAAATCATCAAAAAAGGTTGACTTTACAAACGAATCGGTTTTTGGTCAACCACTTTTCTTAACCAATCAATTTTTTAATGTTTGAATACAGATTGATAGTAGGTATCTCTACGAATTCAAAAAGGTATAACATTTCAAAATCTGACAGTATTTATCCGAGATATTCAATAAATATCATCAAAAACATTTTGATTTTCGAACCGACCCCGAATTTGAGAAAAAACGTGATGTAACCCCTTGCCATTTTGTTGATTTTGGTCAAAATTTAGATTATTATATTTTTGATGCCAATCGATCGTAATGATCCCCACGAGTCCAAAATGGTATAAAATTCCCAAACCGGACATTATTTGGCCGAGATATTCCAAAAAATCATCAAAAAAGGTTGACTGTACAAACGAATCGGTTTTTGGTCAACCACTTTTCTTAACCAATCAATTTTTTTTTATGTTTGAATGCAAATTGATAGTAGGGATCCCTACGAATTCAAAAAGGTATAACATTTCAAAATCTGACAGTATTTATCCGAGATATTTAATAAATATCATCAAAAAAGTTTTGATTTTCGAACCGACCCCGAATTTGAGAAAAAACGTGATGTAACCCCTTGCCATTTTGTTGATTTTGGTCAAAATTTAGATTTTTCTATTTTTGATGCCAATCGATCGTAGTGATCCCTACGAGTCAAAAATGGTATAAAATTCCCAAATCGGACATTATTTGGCCGAGATATTAAAAAAAATCATCAGAAAAGGTTGACTTTACAAACGAATCAGTTTTTGGTCAACCACTTTTTTTAACCCATCGATTTTTTTTTATGTTTGAATGCAAATTGATAGTAGGGATCCCTACGAATTCAAAAAGGTATAACATTTCAAAATCTGACAGTATTTACCCGAGATATTCAATAAAAATCTTCAAAAAATATTGATTTTCGAATCATTTTTTGAGAAAAAACGTGATGTAACCGCTTGCCATTTTGTTGATTTTGGTCAAAATTTAGATTTTTATATTTTTTTTTGATGCCAATCGATAGTAGTGATCCAATCGATAGTAGTAGTCCAAAATGGTATAAAATTCCCAAACCGGACATTATTTGGCCGAGATATTCCAAAAAATCATCAAAAAAGGTTGACTGTACAAACGAATCGGTTTTTGGTCAACCACTTTTCTTAACCAATCAATTTTTTTTTATGTTTGAATGCAAATTGATAGTAGGGATCCCTACGAATTCAAAAAGGTATAACATTTCAAAATCTGACAGTATTTATCCGAGATATTTAATAAATATCATCAAAAAAGTTTTGATTTTCGAACCGACCCCGAATTTGAGAAAAAACGTGATGTAACCCCTTGCCATTTTGCTGATTTTGGTCAAAATTTAGATTATTATATTTTTGATGCCAATCAATAGTAGTGATCCCTACGAGTCAAAAATGGTATAAAATTCCCAAATCGGACATTATTTGGCCGAGATATTTAAAGAAATCATCAAAAAAGGTTGACTTTACAAACGAATCGGTTTTTGGTCAACCACTTTTTTTAACCCATAGATTTGTAGAATGTTTGGATGCAGATTGATAGTAGGGGTCCCTACGAATTCAAAAAGGTATAACATTTCAAAATCTGACAGTATTTACCCGAGATATTCAATAAAAATCATCAAAAACATGGATTTTTGAACCTACCCCGAATTTGAGAAAAACGTGATGTAACCCCTTGCCATTTTGCTGATTTTGGTCAAAATTTAGATTATTATATTTTTGATGCCAATCAATAGTAGTGATCCCTACGAGTCAAAAATGGTATAAAATTCCCAAATCGGACATTATTTGGCCGAGATATTTAAAGAAATCATCAAAAAAGGTTGACTTTACAAACGAATCGGTTTTTGGTCAACCACTTTTTTTAACCCATAGATTTGTAGAATGTTTGGATGCAGATTGATAGTAGGGGTCCCTACGAATTCAAAAAGGTATAACATTTCAAAATCTGACAGTATTTACCCGAGATATTCAATAAAAATCATCAACAAAAATTGATTTTCGAATCATTTTTTGAGAAAAAACGTGATGTAACCCCTTGCCATTTTGTTGATTTTGGTCAAAATTTAGATTTTTATATTTTTTTTATGCCAATCGATAGTAGTGATCCAATCGATAGTAGTAGTCCAAAATGGTATAAAATTCCCAAATCGGACATTATTTGGCCGAGATATTCCAAAAAATCATCAAAAAGGGTTGACTTTACGTGACTCCGCCGATTTAAAAATATGTAAATTATCCAATTTAAATAGAAATACAATTTTGATTGTGGCTAATTTGACATAGAAACGTTATTTCAAAAACTTAGTTATGTGTGGAACCATTTCGTTGAGTATGGAGCACGTAATATTGCAGCACAATGCGTTGCATACTTTTCGGCTTCGTTATCAAATGACATTTTGCGATCGGCAAAGCTCAGCAGTAGCAAAAGCTCCGTTAAAACTGGAATACTTTTGTTAGGCTATCTTAAATGAAGACATTTCTTAATACTGCTACCCTTACTATACTATTAATATTCAATAGTGCTGAATTCAGTTGCACTTCATGTAAGTGTAGTATATTTAACAGCTGATCGGTATATTTATATACGGGCAACTTGGCTATTTGGGCTTTGGTCACACTTGTTGCAAAAGCTGCGCTGGTGGCGTGTTGTTTACTTGCGGACAATTGTCGCTCCCTCTGTGATTAGATCCAATTACACACAGACACACACACACAGGCGCGCATCCATACCCAATCAAGAATCACGATGGCAAGCGGATTACTGGCTGGCAAAGTGGCGTTCGTGACAGGTGCGTATCAGATTTGAGGGCCAGTCGAGTGAACTTTGATCTGTGTTTCGAATTTTAGGCGCCGGTTCTGGCATTGGACGTGCCACCTGTCGCATATTGGCACGTGACGGCGCCAAGGTCATTGCCGCGGATCGCAATCTGGAGTCGGCTCAGGAGACGGCCAAGCAGCTGGGCGCCGAGCGAGCTGCCGCTGTGGAGGTGGACGTCTCGTCGGCGCAGAGCGTCCAGAGTGCGGTGGCCGCGGCGCTGGCACAGTTCAAGCAGGCGCCCAGCATTGTGGTCAACTCGGCCGGGATCACCCGTGACGGCTACCTGCTCAAGATGCCCGAGCGCGATTACGATGATGTGTACAGTGTCAACCTGAAGGGCACGTTTCTGGTGACGCAACAGTTCGCCAAGGCGATGATCGAGCAGCAGCTGACCGACTGCAGCATCGTCAATCTATCGAGCATTGTGGCGAGGCTGAACAATGTGGGCCAGGCTAACTATGCGGCCACCAAGGCGGGCGTCATCTCCTTCACGGAGGTGGCATCCAAGGAGTTCGGCAAGTTCGGCATACGCGTCAATTGCATTCTGCCCGGCTACATAGACACGCCCATGGTGGCGGTGGTGCCCGATAAGATCAAGCAGCAGGTGGTCCAGCGCTGTCCGCTGGGCCGCTTGGGCCAGCCCGAGGAGATTGCCGAGGTAATTGCCTTCCTCGCCTCCCAGAAGTCCGCCTACGTGAACGGAGCAGCCATTGAGGTCACCGGCGGCCTCAAGTGAAGCCGTAAGCTCGTGAAGCTCGGATCGCTGCCCGCCCTGAAAAAGAAGCCGTTTGCATTTATTTGTTATAGCTAAACAATTAAACCCTTTATTATTTTTAGTTAAATTTACTTGCTGATAAGCTTTTTTTGATTCAGCGATCAGCTGTTGCTAATTGCTGATTAGCGACTTGCGCCATCTAGCGGCAAGCTTTACAAGCACAGTTTGGCGCTATTCGCGCTTCAATTCAAAAACCCACTAGACTGAAGATTAATTTAATACAATTAAAATGTAGTCCCAAATAATGTGCTTTGGCAACATTTTGCCTAAAATGTATGTAGATCTTGGTAAAGTTGACCGTGAACTCTTTTTGCATATCGTATAGAAATTAAAAGATTTCAGTCTGGAACTTGACATCCGTACACTCCATACTATCCGCACTATTGCCATAGATAAATATCGATTGTAATTATAGCACGGACTGCATTTCGGTGGCATTGCGGTTGTCCCATTGTCCCAGTGCGGTCACAAAGGGAGACAGTGTCGCGTTTTTAGAGGGTGGGGTTGTGGTGCAGCCCAAGGAGCGGGAAAAGGGGATGAAAGGGGACACGGCTGCCAAAGTGTACAATATTAATATATTTCACAATTCCCCAGCTGCTAATTAACTTGGCCACACCAACACATTTACGCACATACACACGCACGCAAAACGAGCCATATATGTGTGTGTGCGTGTGTGTGTGAGCTTGTACATATGTTGGTCGGTTTGTTTGAGCACCACATTTGGGTGGGTTACGCCTGTGGTCGTGCGTGCAATTTAAATAATGAAGACATTTTATTAATTCAAGAAATTCAACTCGCCTGCCTCAAATATGAGCCACACACACACTCACACACGCACACACACTAACATACACATACGAGCAATTACACAGAACGGGTCGCCAGGACATTAAGCAACATCAGACCAAGAGCAAAAGTTTCGACTGCGGCACCAACCCCCGCTATCCCAGCCAGACCCAGTTCATGCCAATGCGGTCCACATTAAGCGCGTGTGTGTGTGTGTGTGTGTGTGTGCGGTGTGTGTGTGTAACGTTTTGCCCATTTCGTTTTTAGTGCATAGTGAAAAACAAAACATTTCCTAATCATATGGCCAAAGTCGCAACCCACCAGGCACACACACACACATTAAGCTAGAGCAGGGGAGTAGAGCGTAGGCAAGGGGCTGGCTGTCGCCCCGCACCACGCACTACGAACTCCCCGCTGCTTCCCGCTGCTGCCCGCTGCCCGCCTCGCTATAGCGTTAACAATTAACAACACAACGCACTGCGACAACGACAACCCAACGCCTGGCAGCCACTTGAGTCATAAAACAGCCCAATGGTGACCCCAATCAACCCACACTCCACACTCCACACACACACACATCCACCCAATCACACACACACACACATGCACTGTGCAAACCACTCGCCATATCTCATGTTAATGAAATCGTAACTCTTCGTGCGACTTGTGTCCGTTTTTTGTCTGCTGCGCAGCACGTTGCCGTAGCCGTTGCCTTTGTCGATGACGTGCGTCAGGCTCCAGCCAGGGGGCACGTTGTTGTCGCCGGCTCCAAGCTCGAGATGCATGCTGCAGCCACCAATTGTTCATAAAACTGCGGCTGCTGTTGCCTGTTGGGTGGTGGATGCCAGCGCACTAGGCGGGTGATTAACTCAGAACTTTGCCGGAACGTGAGCAAACCCAGCGAACAAAAAAAGTAGGAAAAGTAAAGCAAATAGTAAGCGAGCAGTCGGTTGCTACCGACTGACAGATACTCTGCACACAGCAGCCACAAAATTGCTATGGAATTGTTATTTTGCTTAGCTTCAGATCAGATTGTCAGATCTTAGACTTTTGCACAGGCAGGCAGACTGAGAGACAAAGCCAATATGCCCGCCGTCAACAGGGTATATCAGGGTATACTCAAAAGAAAAAAAAACAACACGAATTAGCACTCAAATTTTGAACTTCGAATTTCTAAACGAGCCCAAGGCGATTCGCGTTATTTTTTTTATTGAAAACTAGAAAATAACTTTTGTAAAGCAGAAAAAACTTTTTAAAATCTAGACAAATTTGAAAGGAAAATTGCGCTGAATTTCAGAAAAGTAAAAACTTTTTCATTAATACAAAAAATAAATTTTTTTAAATTGATATTTTGGTATCATTTTTGTTAAAAGAAACTTCAATTTTTTACTTTTTTCTGGAGAGTATAGAGAAAGGCGCTGCAGGAGCATTATTTACATTGCGGATAATGTGGTGTAGGCTGGGTGCGGATATCGCTGGCCTGATCCGTACACCCACACACACACGCACACATACACACACAGGTCATGCCGGCGGTGCGTGCGCCTGCAACTCACGATAGTTTCCACAACAATGTCAAGCCAATTAACACAGTAAACCGCAATTGCAACTTCCGACGACTAAGTGCACGTAGTGCTCCTATAGTTATAGCCCGACCCCAGCCACTTGCCACGCCCACTATGGGCTGGTTGGGGCCGGGGTCGGGGGCCCTGTTGGTTGGCGGCTTGAGGGTCGTTTGTGACAAAGGCAACTAATTTAGTTTAACGCGCGTCGCGCGCGCGGCCGCTAAATTTCTTGCGGATCGTGCAACGGCCGGCACTCGACCAGAAACCAGGAGCCAGGCACTCTCTCTCTGTGTGTGTGTGTGTGTGTGTGTGTATTTGTGTGCGACCCTTACGCACTCATTAAGCATTTTTAGTCGAGCTTAGCGAGCCGTTTGTTTGCATTGTCAACTGACTTTGCCTCACAGCCCACACCCCTTGCGCGCCCTTTGTTTCATGCCAGGACACACGATTCCCCCGCACATTTAAATGTACACACACACACACACACACACACACATGCGCCTGGTTGGCTTTGGTGGTGCGACGCTTTTTAATTTCACTTCTGTTTGTTTGATTTTTAGCTTTTACAGCTGACAGTTTTGTGAGGCGACAGTTGGCAGCTCTGACACCACCAGCAGCAGTCGCACCACCGTCAGCAGCCATCGGGTGGGTCAAATTAAAAATGTTGCGGCACTTTATTTGAGTTTTTGGCAGCAGCAAATGTAGCCAGTCTGACTTTGAAGTCGCCAAAATTAACTAAAAAAAAAACATAAACGAAAAAAATAAGTAAATATGAATGAATACAAATTTGAGAGCTCTGTCAAATTTTTGCAATAAATTTTTATTTATTTCTTTATGCTTTTCATATAATTTTTATATATATTTTTGTTGCTTTTGTTTTTGTTATTTTTTTTTGCTTTCTTTTGTTTATATCGTTTATTTGCTTTGTAACTGGCCTTTTGTATACATAAAACTTTTGTTCATTTTGCTTAATTACTGATAAAAATATCGACAGCTACCAAATTTAGCAATTTAATGCAATTCACTGTTCTTAATTGCTACCAAGAAGAAAAAAAATGATAAACACCAAATATATATATATATATATGTATATGTATATATTTAGTTCGATGTGTTGCCTTTGCACTTTAACTAGGCATTTCCCATATGCAATTTGTTTATATATCAAAAACTCGAACGAAGCTAAAGGCTGTCTATGCTATTAAATAGAAAAAAAAAAATGATATATATATATATATGTAGATACATGCTAAACTTAGTGTGTAAATGCGTATGTTAATGGCATACTACAGCTAGGATATATATATATATATATATATGTAAATATATATATGTATGTATATGCGGATTAATTAACGTTATACACTTAGAAGTACACTTAGCAAAATTGAACTTACGAACTTGTTGCTACTTTTTTTTCTTTCTGTTATTTTAAGTATTTTTGCTTGAAACTTGTTTGCCAGCTTATTAAGTTTTTGTTGAATTTTTGTATTTTATTCGTTTTTTGAAGATTTTCTGAGCTTAGTGCGTGGGCGTGTCATAAGTTAAGGCGACTGCTTAAAAGTTGAGTATTTAGCTGCTAACTTTTCTATTTCAAATACATTTTTTCATTGCTTAAACTCTCTACTCAAACAAAAAAAAATCTCTTAAAAATACTACTAGATTATTAAAAAAAACAAAAAAAATGCACAGCTTAAATACTATCAGGTACTTTGGCATAATTTTCTTAAGCAACACACACTGCTGCACATAAGTATGTGCACGTTTGTCTTGCAAGCACATTAAATTAACTTTTCACATGCTACTTTTACACTTCTTCCACTTAATTTTTTGTTGTTAGTTTTTGTTTTTTTTTGCTTTGCGCGCCTCTTGTTGCACTTTGAAAAAAGTGTTGCCTACATTTGAGCTGACATGGAGAGTTTCGGATATACATATAATAGAAGGATATGTAAGAGTTTTAGATAGCTTTGAGATATGAAACTGTTAAAAAGGAGAGAAAAAGTTTTTTTTTTCAAAGCATAAGCCAAGCATGTTTTTTTTTTAAATATTTTCTTTTGCACAACAAAGGCACGCAATTTGTTTTTTCTTCTATTTAATGTGTATATATATATATATATATATTTTTTTTTTTTTAATTTTTGCTTTTTTTTCAGTTAAAATGTTTGCTTTAATTTTTGCTGTGTAATAAATAATCTTTGTAAGGCGTTTCTTAACATGCAGCAAGTCTCTAAGAACTTGTAAATGCGCAACATTCTAGCTTATCCAACTATATATAGTCTATATAAATCGGGCCACTTACAACTAGCGATAGAAATTGAATTTGTTACGCCAAAGCCAAGCGGCATAGATCTGACATTCGACTAAGTTAGGCAAGAGAAAAAAATGTAGTTGCTATATATGTGTGTGTCTGTGTGTGTGTGTGTGTGTGTGTGTGTAAAATTAAAGTAAAATACTAAGTATGTCTGTAGTTAGTTATAGGTCTAGTAGTCCACCTAAAGTTAGCCTAGTTACGTGCTGCCTAATCAGACGTGGCATGAGCTCTCTTTAACCTTAAGCTATACAATGCGAATTTTTGGTTGCTAAAAAATGTTGCAGGGTCCTCCAAACTTACCCCTCGACCTGTGCCCTGTGCGACGCCCAACGATCGCCCGCTGCCCTTGAGATCAGACTTGCGAGTGGTTGCTTGGGCGGCTGCTTGGGCTGGCGCTCGGGC